ACCAAAGCCTAAGAGATAAGGGCACTGATGGAGACACTTGGTCTGATGGAGACTCTAATAAGACCTGAGTTTCTATTTCAGTGGTGTTGTGCTTTGTTTTTAATTCTCAAGTTCAATTCTGATTATCAGGTTTGTTGCTTTCTTCTCTTAAAGTGAAAATTAATAGCAAGGCTTGGAAGGGAACTTACATACACTTGGACTTTCTTCAAGGAATTGATGGCTGACTATGAAAGTGCACTGAGCAGGCAGGAAAGAGGAAGCCTTGGAGGCCAAGTTAACCCAGCCACCCGCTGACCAGTGTTCAGTTCAGCATACAATTGTGTTATAAACCCTTATTAGGTTGAACCATATGTAAGGGCCATTTTGCAGGTCAAAAGTAATTGAATACCAGCAAATTTATATGTTTAAATCTAATACATGCTAAGTACCCAGAAGACAGAGATTTCATTAATTTATTTGGTTTGGTTCCAATCGAGCAACAAATGTTGATTGAACATTGTTTGTAAGATTCTGGATACAAAGATAAATGAAATCAAAATCCTGCCCCAAGTCTCACATCCTAGTAAAGAAATAAAAACAAATCCATGAGTTGTTAAATAATGTGAAACATGATAATTTTATCATAAGAAAGAACAGGAGGAAATACTAAATAGATGACCAAATCAAGTATGATAGGGCTTCAGAGAAAACATCATTTAGAGTGAAATCTATGTGGTAGACTAGGTGTATATTTCATTGATCCAAGTTCTACTTGATTTAATCAGGCAATGCATAGAAATGTCAAGATACATTCTGTACAGCCAATCTCAATCCAAGTTGTTAAAAAAAAAAAAAAAAAGACAGGTACAGTTTGGGAGAGGCTTCCACACCATGATAGAGCCACACTCGTTATCCTGTAAGTAGAAAGAACTTGAAGCTAGTAAGAAAAGCAAGATCCTGGAAATCACACAGAAGATGGCGTAGCCACAGTTTACATAGAAGTATACTCAGAGAAGGACCTGGCCCAAGGTCACACAAGTAAATGGCAATCTGACCTTGGCCCAAGGCAATCAGGCAGCAAAGCCCCGCTATTAAAATATGTCCAAATAAAAATATGTCCACAAGTATTCATCATACATCATTATTCAGAACAGCTAAAAAGTGGAAACAACCCAAATGTTTATCAACTGATGAATGAATAAATAAAATATGGTAGAACCAAGCAATGGAATACAACCCAGCCATATAAAGAATGAAGTACAGGGGCTGGGATTATGGCTCAGCAGTAGAGTGCTCACCTAGCACACGCAGGGCACTGGGTTCAATCCTCAGCACCACATAAAACTAAATGAATGGAATAAAGGTATTGTGTCCAACTACAACCAAAACAATACTAAAAAAAAAAAAGAATAAAGTACAGATATATGCTATGACATGAAAATATTACAAGGAGTGAAAAAAGCCAGGCACAAATGATCACATATTCAGTGATCCAATGTATGTGGAATTTTCAGAGTAATAACTAGAAAGTAAGTTTGTGTTTGCCTAAGGGCTATATGAATGGGAAATGTGGAGTAACCGGTAATGGATATGGAGGGTAATTGGGGGGCATCAAGGGTGATGAAGACTTTCTAAATTCAGACTGTGGTGATGGTTACATTAATATATAATGATTCTAACACCCCCTGGATTAGCCAGGCATGGTGGTGCACACCTGTAACCCCAGCCTCTTAGGATCTTTGAGTCCTACCTGGACAACATAGCAAGACCCCATCTCAAATCAACAACAACAACAAAAACTCACTGTATATTTTAAATGCATTTATTTTATGGTATATTAATTTCATGTCAGTAAAGCTGTTAACAAATGTTTAAGCACCTAAGATGATTTCAGGTTTGGGTATGTGCAGTGACCCCCAGAGACCAAATGGGAAAGAGTGAGATACTGGAGCTTGAGAACAGTCAGTGCCAGGTCTGTGCAGGAGACGGGTCCCATGCCAATCCTTCCAAGAGAAAACAAACCAGCCACAGCTTTTTCTGCAGCCAAGAAGCTGCCAGCTCCCTGTTAGCAACTTACTTGTGCTCTGTAGACACAAGTCCTAGACTCTTAACTGGTAACTTTCTGGTTGGCCAGATGCTTTAGAGTTCAGTGATAAGGATGCTGAATTCATTGTGTTTGCTTTGTTTTTGCAGTTTTTGAAGAGCCAGAGGATCCAAGCAACAGATCGTTTTTCTCTGAAATTATCTCTTCAATTTCGGACGTCAAGTTCAGCCACAGTGGGAGGTATATCATGACCAGGGACTATCTGACTGTGAAAGTCTGGGATCTCAACATGGAAAACCGCCCCATCGAGACTTACCAGGTACAGAACATCACCCATGCACAGATCCTTAGAGCAGTCCCTCTGAAGTCAGCCTTTGGAAAGGTTTGCAATGTGGAAGAATAAAAGGCAGTACATAGTGACATGTTTTGGTAAAATGCTACAGGCTGTAGGAGCCACAGGATTTAAGTAAGAGTGTACACAGGCTAGAATTTATCCATTCTGTGTTAAGTTTTCAGTCTATGTGGATTAAGTGATCAAAACCAGCCTGACCCTGCTCTCATGGGTAACCATCTGGTAAAGCTGGGTGGTGAACAAGGAAATGAGTGTGCACTTATGCAAAGGATGGTGCTGGGTCCCTAGGAGCACATAATGGTGGCAGGAGTGGGGGTGGGGCGCGCTAGCCAGGTAAGAAAGGTGAAAAAGTGACCCTACCCTAAGTCTTCACTGTCATGACCTCATGGACAAAAGCCTGTTGACCTTGAAAGGTGAACACCCTATCAGAAAAATGAGCCTGAAAGAGGAGGTTAGGGCTCCCCCAGGTAGTCTCTGATAATGCAGTCTAACTTTTTTGTTTTGTTTTGGGGATGGGTACAATGGAGAACCATAAATGTTTTTACCCAAGAAAGAATACTGTATTTATCACAGTGTAGACTAAAGGACAGGATATAATGGAGACAGTAGATAGGATGGCAGGGTGAGAAGTGGAATCAAGAACACTATGTAGAGGGTTTTGGTTTTAGCTTAAGCACTGGTAGATGGTGTGGAAATACTGATGAAGGGTTTTGCTGAAAAAGACCAGACTTTGAGGCAGAGAAGATCTAAAGAAGCCAATTCCACGTAAGGCTACAGTAAAAGAGATCAACTGATCTTATTTTAAGATATCTTGGATTTGATTTTTTAAAAAAGAATAGATGCTAGACAGACATTTGACTGTTTTTTCCTTGACACATAATTCACAGAGCTGTAGAACCCTCACCACTAATTGCAGAAAAAAATTCATCACTTCTCAATATGTTCAAGAGAACATTTTGGTTGTGGAAGGGCGGGGGGGACACATGAGTGAAAGGAAAGTGACCAAGATCTCTTTATTGCAGCAATGCAAAAGAGGGAGTTTTTATAGCCAAAATCTGATTGGATTAGACAGTAGTATCATCTTCTGCCTTGAGGGGCAGGGGTTAGATGTGGGTTTCTGTTGCACCAGATGGGTGGGGGTCAAGTGTTCAGGTGATAAAGGACCAGAGTGGATGGGTTACCCTGCAGCTAACATTCCTCCCTTTTTGTTTTTCGAAGTGATGTGGGGGCAGTATGGGACCTACCAGGGAAAGTGGAGGAATGGCCAGGGCACCCAGAAATAACATCCAGGGGCTATAGACAGTTATCTCAGAAGGGGCAAAGTCCATAAAGTTTCCTTGAAGCCATAGGTTGTCAACGGCATCAAACCATTTCTGAGCAGAAGAGATCTTTGATATCAGCCATTGGTCCTGTCCTAGGGACTCTAGGAAGGATTGGAGGGGGCTTGGTTGAATCCAGTAATGTGAAGGATGACCGCCCGATTACAGCCAGCGGAAGGGCAATTGCCTTGACCCATAAACAGAGGGTGGTGGCATCTGGGTTGGTTCCACAGTCTAGCTATTGTGAATTGTGCTGCTATGAACATCGATGTGGCAGTGTCCCTGTAGCATGCTCTTTTAAGGCCTTCAGGGAATAGTCCGAGAAGGGCAATAGCTGGGTCAAATGGTGGTTCCATTCCCAGCTTTCCAAGGAATCTCCATACTGCTTTCCAAATTGGCTGCACCAATTTGCAGTCCCACCAGCAATGTACAAGAGTACCCTTTTCCCCACATCCTCGCCAGCACTTGTTGTTGTTTGACTTCATAATGGCTGCCAATCTTATGGAGTGAGATGGTATCTTAGGGTGGTTTTGATTTGCATTTTTCTGACTGCTAGAGACGGTGAGCATTTTTTCATGTTCTTATTGATTGGGTTATTTGTTATCTTATTGTCTAATTTTTTTAGTTCTTTGTATACTCTGGGTATTAGAGCTCTATCTGAAGTGTGAGGAGTAAAAATTTGTTCCCATGATGCAGGCTCCCTATTTATCTCTTACACAATGGAGTATTACGCAGCACTAAAAAATGGCAAAATCATGGAATTTGCAGGGTAATGGATGGCATTAGAGCAGATTATGTTAAGTGAAGCTAGCCAATCCCTAAAAACAAATGCCTTCTTTGATATAATGAGAGCAACTAAGAACAGAGCAGGGAGGAAGAGCAGGAAGAAAAGATTAACATTAAACAGAGACATGAGGTGGGAGGGAAAGGAAGAGAAAAGGGAAATTGCATGGAAATGGAGGGAGACCCTCATTGCTATACAAAATTACATATAAGAGGTTGTGAGGGGAATGGGAAAATAAGGAAAGAAATGAATTACAGTAGATGGGGTAGAGAGAGAAGATGGGAGGGGGGATAGTAGAGGATAGGAAAGGTAGCAGAATACAACAGTTACTATTATGGCATTATGTAAAAATGTGGATGTGTAACCGATGTGATTCTGCAATCTATATGGGGTAAAAATGGGAGTTCATAACCCACTTGAATCTAATGTATGAAATATGATATGTCAAGAGCTTTGTAACGTTTTGAACAACCAATTAAAAAAAAAAGAATAATGATTAGTACAAGAAAAGGGTTGGCAAGAAATTTTGGTGGAAGTCCAGGACTGAACAGATGACTTTTTAAGGCGGGAGACATGGTACCAGGGAGAGTGTCCAAAAGGTTGGTCACCACTGGAGTAGTAAGTATGACTGTATGGGGTCCCGTCCAGTGAGGTTCTAGTGATTGAGAATGCAGTTCCTAAAGTTAGACTGCATCACCCAGTTGAAGAGGGTCCGATTCAGTTCCTTGTTGTGCCGGGATTGAGGCAATGGATGGTGTGGGAAGGCACCTGTCTGCATGTTCTCTTAGGAATTTGTGTAGAAGTGTGAGGTAGGACACAAGGGGAGGAGGAGTGATTGGAAAGCTTTGGTTGGTTAAGAAAGGGCACCCATAGAGTTGCTCAAAGGGGCTAAGGCCTGAGGGGACTCTTGAGGCTGCCTGAATTCAGGTGAGGGACAACGGCAGGAGAATGGGCTAGGACAGCCTGAGTTCCATAGCAAATTTAGTGAGATGATCCTTGAGGATGCCGTTAGGCCTCTCAACCTTACCCGATGACTGGGGTCAGTGGGGGATGTGGAGCCTCCAAGTGATGTTCAAGCTTTGGAGACTAGTTGAACAACCTGAGAAGTAGAGGCGGGAAGTCTGAACCTGGGAATGATCTGCTCATTGAGGATGGAGGTGACAGTGTCAGCAATTTCCCCTGGATGTAGGGAAGGCATCTATCCAATCAACCTTCGCCTGGCTGGTGGCTCCTCATCTGATGCATGGGGAGTTTAGGTTTGATGCTTTCTTGTGGGGATACAGTAGAGCAGACAGAACGAGCAGAGCGGACCTGCTGGAGAGTAGTTCTCATTCCTAGGAAATGAAAGAGAGGTTGTAAAAACTGGAAAAGGGGTTAGAGAGGGTTTTAGATGGGGGCAGAGTATCTGGAGCTGGAGGAGTTGTCATGAGTCATAGGTCTCCATCTTGGGCATCAGGAACTGGTAGTCTTGAAGTAGTGGGTTGACTGACTGGTCGGTGAATCTGATCTTGCAGGAACTTCTGAAATCCAACAGATACAGGACTAATAGGGTCATACTTGACTAAACATTCCCCATGGAGACCGTTGGTCTAATTGCTGTGTCCTCTTTCTAGCTGTTCTTGTCCTTCATTACCTCCAGGAATGACTGTTTTGGTTTAACTGGGTTTGGTAGGTGTTAAAGATCAAGCTGGTCAAAATTGACTTTGTTTCTGTCTATTGTTAGGGGTCATTCAAGAGCAACTTCTTAGTTCTGCTAGTGCCATTTGTGCTAGGATGGGTCCAGCCTTGCTTCACGTGGCTTCCCTTAGAAGCATCAAGGATGTCTCCTTTTTTTCCAATGATCCTCCTATTCACAGCAAGTGCGCTTATTGGCTTTTCATTCTCCAGTGGTCTCATTAATCTCCCTGATCAGGAGGTTTTGTGGCCCAGAGTTGCAAAGCTGTTTAGAGAAGTCCCTATTCCCTGGATTCAGACTGACTCAGAGGGCAAGAGCCAAATATTGGTTTTCTTGGCCCTTTTAAGTCTTGATATTAAACATCTAACAAGTCAGTCTTAAGAGTACTGTGCTTTAGCTGAAGTCTGGCCTACTTTGGAGTCATTTTGATATATAGTAAGATGGGAGGCAGAGCCTTATCCCAGGTGGGGCTCTTAATAAATCTTAGGTAGTGTTCTAGTATCGAAGCTGATCTTTGTTTTTAAATATTTTATAAAGTTTACATATTGTTGTTCGAGATCACATGAATACTAGCTAACACAATATGATATTACATTTAAATTATACTCCAGTGTATAGAATATTATTGATAACAGGTCCAGTTATAGAACATTAAATGATAAATCTCCAATGTTATGAGCCTAAAATTACCATGCAACTTTGGAGAACACCAGCTTGATTTTTTTTTTTAAAGCTTCTATCTTAATGACTTATATACCTGGAAAATATGAACACATTTAATATATAAAGAAGAGTAATAGTACCACAATTACATTGATGTTTTTATATTAATCAAGTTTAGCTCTAAAATAACATAATATTGCAAAAATAACAGTTGTTAACCATAGTTGTATAATCCTTAATTCCTTCAAGATTACTTGCTCAAAACTCACATATAACGAACTTACACACCTTCTTTAAACCCTCTTATTTAGTCAGAGTCTCTTATCCAGAAACAACTTTTCCTTCTATTAAATCCATACTTGGAACCTTCTAATTTCTCTTTCCCATCTGTTAATTCTTTATTCATATTTTGAAACAATCCTTGTAAATTTCTGAATTTAGGCAAATAATTATTCCATTTTAATAAGAGATATTTTGTTGTTTTCAGTATACAATCACATTTGTTTACCATTTCATGAAAACATATACCGTGTTTAAGTATATAGAATTATACTGTTGTAGGGACAGATAGGGCAGTGAAGATAGGGAAACAGTTTTATTTGTTTACAGCCAGGTTCAGAGGGCACAGCTTCTGCTGTAATCAATCCCCTGAACCCCAAGTACAGGTAGTTTCAGAATTTTATATCTAGCATATAAGGGGAGGGGCGCAAAAGTTTTTTTGTTGTTGGTCTGGGCAAGTTAACCCTTCAAAGACACCTGAGGAGAGCTTTTTCTTTCTTCCCTCTCTCTGCCAGCTGTTACCAACTGGAATCCATGGTAACTTCTCTATCTTAGAAATGTAGCCATCTCTGTGAATCCCCTGCTCAAGGCCAGAGGCCTTGTTCACATATTTTTGTGAAAAACTAGTAAGGGGGTGTCCCTCACCTGGAGTGCTAATTTTTTTTTCCAGCCAGGGGCCAAGTAAAACAGGGCAACAAGAAAAGAGGAAGTTTATCTACATTGAACTATTTGTAGAGGCTCTTGCTGACAGTCCTAAAACCAGCCATGGTGAATATTGCTGGAGAAGGTCAGTTAAGACTTTTCTGTGGGCCTGGGTAGGGAGCGGGAAGGCGGGGCTGAGAGCAGCTCAGGTGAATCTGAGAATGAGGAGGGAGGGAGATACAAAAGAATAGTGGAAAGGGGGTTTGGGATTTTCCCTAGCAAGGAAAACTTGAGCAGTAGAACAGGGAGAGCAGAAGCAAATATCCCAAAAAGCCTGTAAGAGACAATTCTTAGTAACCTGTTTTTAGTGATGACAAAGCAACCTTAAAGGCCATTTTCACCAGATCTCTGAGCTCTCCTCAGCTAGTTTGAGGGCCTGGTGGGACCCCGTGTGGGCACTGTCAGAAGAGTGAGTGGGTGGAGGGAAACCTTCAGTACCTGCTACCTCAGCAAGGGGGCAACGGTTTAAGGAAGGGCGGTGGTTTGGGTTTTTGATCTAGTAATTGAAGGGGAGAAAGCAGGTTATGGAGGCCGTGGAGGGGCAGAAGATTGAGGCTGAGGACATATTTGAGCTGGGCGACAGGGCGGAGGTTCATCAGCAGGGTCAAAAGTAGTAGATGAGTCTGGAGGAGGAGAAGGTTAGGGATCGGTGGCTGGGGGCATTGGTTTGTAACTTAGAAAAATTTGTAGAGGATTGCAAAAGGTGCAGAGAGCAGAATTGGATCGGAGCAAGAAGAAAGCTTGGACCTAGGGGAGTTTACCCATTTTTTTCGAATGATCACAGTGCTTATAAAGATCCCTTAGAATGGAGGGATCCAGAGACCCAAAAGGGGGCCATTTGCTTTGGTTATCTAGGGTATAAGTGGGCCAATCCTTGGTGTTATATCTGGTCAATTTTTAGGGTTTGATGTTATCTAAGAGGCATTGTAAGGGAGAGTGACCAGCAGAGAGGACGCATTACTCATGTTGCAGAATTGTAGGATGAGGGAAGGGAGCACAAAGGTAATCTAGGGGAGAAGGAGGAAACTGATTATTGGCAAAGGAGCGTCCCTGCTAGAGCCCAAAATCAGGAGTGCCTAGTGGCAGGTTCAAGTTGCAGAGATTGGTCATCACCGAATCCTGACGCTCGAGGCTCCTGTCCTAGACGGGGCCAGAGCCGTGGGAGACCTTTGGCCAAGCCTTTTTCAAGACCCCTGCTGGAGAGGCCAGAGACTCCCAGGGTCAAAAGAGGGGAGAGAGAGGAAGGGGAGGTAAGCATATCTGGAGCAGCAGAGTTGTGAAGGTCTGGGTGGGGTGGTGGAGTGTGATTTTCAGTTCTCCATTATGTGTTCCCAGAGGTTACACAGTCCTTTAAGGGTGACCTATAAAGCCTATGCTGGGGAAAGGAAATAATTGTGAACCCAAGAGTCAAATCTGCCCCAGAAGGGAGTCCCTGGGAGCCACCATGGCCTTAAAGGCTGAGGTGGGGTGCTTTCCTCCCCTCAGGTGGGCGAAGAGGTTTGCCGGACCATCAACAGTCAAATCATCCTGACACCTCCATTGGGTTTAGGACTCCAGGAAGGGGAGGGTAGTTCTGGCAGTGGATGTAGCTCTGGCAGTAGAGAAAATGGGTTCAGGCTGTCCAGTGAGTGGCACTTCAAGAGTGGGCTTTAACCCTCTTCCCAGGTTTTGGCACCACTGAAAGGAAAGTGACCAAGAGATCTTTATTGCAGCAGTGCAAAAGAGGAGGAAGAGAGTAAGAGGGAGAGTGAGGGGCCCGGCTGGAGGGAGTTTTTATAGCCAGAATCTGATGGGGTCTCTGGGTCTGCAAGCTGCCTTGTTGGCATACAGTGATTGGATCATACAGACAGGTCAGATGTGGGTTTTCATTGCACCATATGGGTGGGGGTCGAGTGTTCAGACTTGACGAAAACAGGTGATGAAGGACCCAGATAGAGGGAGGTTTGAGTGCGTGGGTTATCCTGCAGCTAACATTCATCCAGCCTGCCCTGCATCTAATAATGACACAGGAAGAGTTATTATAAAGTTATTATAGTAAGCTGGCCAGAGGTGATAGTTGCTTGGAAGAAATTGTTAGCAATGAAGATGACCAGATTCTGGACATTTCCAAGGCAACACCATTAAGATCTGAGGACAAATTTGATGTGTGACATAAGAGGGAAAGAAGTATCCAGGATCATTCCAAAGTTTTTGTCTTGAGCAATTAGAAAAGTGGAGTTACCATTAGATGAGAAAAATCAAGAGTTTGACACAGGACCTGTTAATCCAGTTAAACATCCAACCAGAGATGGCAAGAAGACAGTTCAACACCGAGTCTGGATGGATAGATCTGGTCGCTAGAAGAGTTCTCCCAGGCAATGTGTATAATTAGAGATCAGGAACTGTGCCCTCGGGCCTCCAGGTTGAGACTAGGAAGATGATTTGGCAAAGGAGGTTGGGGAAAAGTGGCCCTTGAGGAAAATCAAGAGGAGTGTCCAGCAAGCCAAGTGAAAGCAATCTCAAGGTGGACTGCCAACTGCTATTGCTACACTAACTACAGAAGGACTCGGCCATTCAATTTAATAAAGTGAAAATGACCAGTGGCCCTCATGGAAGAGTGAGGAGAGTGAGTGGGGTCGAGAGACTGTGAACTTAAGAGGATGGACAGCTCTTTCAAGAGCACTAGCTGGAATGGGGTCCAGCTGATGGAAGTAACAGGATGCTTCAGGCTAAAGGGAATAAGCCAGGAGACAGAGAATTTAATGGAAGTGAAGGAGTCCATTGCAAAACTGGCTTCAGATGAGAGGATGGACAGTTCACCTGTGAAAGAAAGGAGAGCAGCATACGTAGCTCCAGATGCAATAGGTTTATAAATTTTGTGATGGGAACATGTAGATATTCTCTTATCTAAAAGCAAGGTCTCCAGCTAAATGAGAAAAGTTTGAAATAGTCATCTAAGAGAAGGGAGTGGTTTAGGTTTGCTCAAAGTTCCACTTGAGGTGTCTATTAAAATAAACTAACCCCTATAATTATTTCTTCACAGCCACATTCACCTGCTTGGTGCAGGCAAGAAAAGAGCAGATTTTGTTAAATCTAACTGATGAGATTTCACCTTATAATATAGTGGAAAAGAGAGATAAAGGGAAGTTTGTTAAACATGTCTATTAGAGAACACAATTATAATGATGGACTGCCAAATCTCAGGTAGTTAAGAAAGGAAATGATGAACAGAGGAAATTAGATTCAAAGAGTTGACAGAATGATACTAGAGAGAGAAAGAACTAAAAGATAGGAAGTGGCATGAGATTTGCTGAAGGGATGACAAGATTTATTCTATCACCAAGGAAGCAGAGGACAGAACTCGTTGAATGAGACTAAACTAAGACCAGAGTGTCTGAATTACTAAGCTAGATGGCAGGAATAGTGATGGAGGAGGACTAGAGAACTTTAAGAAGAATGGATGACAGGAAGTTTAGCCTGGGTGACTTGGAAAGTAGCCAAGAATTGGAGATAGGCAGGAACAAGTGTCGGGAGCAGCAAGGAGCCCACACCCAGCCACCCTGGAGTGTCCTCGAGAGAAGCAGTGACCTCAGGGGAGAGCCAGATTTCAATCAGGAATGAAGGAGAAGTTCAGAGAGGACGATGAGGACTAAGATCCAGAGGGCAGCTTGGGAGCTAGAATTCAAGACCGCCTATGTGGACTAGATAATTTTGTTACCCCTATGGTTCTAAAAGATCCCCTGTACCTGCATCTTACTGTCCCGAGTCCAGACCTCAAGGCTCTACATCACCTCCCTGGCACAGCCTTTTGTTTTTAGCCCAGGGGAAGGGTCAATAGGAGAGTCCTCTTATAGCTGCGTCAGACAAACTATATGGTGCTAGAACCCTCAGTACAAAGGAGAGGGCACTGGAGCCTGGGTGGTACTTGTAGTGAGGCAGCCTGCTGGAGAGCTTTTGAGAAAAGAGATTCCAGACCCAGAGTGGCAAGAGCAATTAGTACCTTTATTTTAGGAGAAGGCTTTTAGAACAAAGCTAGTTTTAGAACAGAGCTAGCAGGCTGTGATGTGAAGTAATCAGCATTCTAAAGTCCCCGATTCTGAAGCCATGTTGAGCTGATAGTAAGCTTGGAAACATCTTTGCAGAAAACCAAGAAATAGGTATCATAGCACATGTCTTGCAACATCTTAACTCAGAATGGTCTATGTCTCAAAGTGATTTAACTGAGTTCATCTTATATCAAAGATGAACAGTAAAAAGCAGGTCAAGGGAAGGAGATTGATCAGGTTATGTTAGATGCATGTATGAATATAGCATAATGAATCCCACCATTGTGTACAATTATGTTGCACCCACTAAAAAAAAAAGATGTAAAAATAAAAAAACTGATTCAGTGAGTTTCTAGAACAGAGTTGAAAAAGATAGGAAGCCAGGCATGGTAGCACACACCTGTAATCCCAGCAGCTCAGGAGGCTGAGGCAAGAAGATCATGAGTTCAAAGCCAGGCTCAGCAAAAGTGAGGTACTGAACAACCCTGTCTCTAATACAAAATGGGGATGTGGTTCGGTGGTCGAGTGACCCCGAGTTCAATCCCAGTACCAGGAAAAGAAGAAAGATTGGGAGAAATAGGGAAAGACCTGGCCCTGCAAGAAGACTGGTAATGTTCTCACTGTGTACTTTTTTATACATGCATTAATAGATCTCAAGCATGTTTCCACCAATAAGCTGTCAACTGAAGTATGATTAAGTTTACCTATAGGTCAGGGTTCAGCAAACTGGCTTGTGAGCCAAATCCAACCCCGCCAATAATATTTGACTGAAACAGCCACAATTGTTTATTTTAGGCTCTGTGGGCCGTGTGGCATGATACTAGCCACAAAACTAGTTACTACAAGTTAAGTATCCCCAATTCAAAATGCACCAACATGATGTCAAAAATGGAAAAACCCCACATCTGGACTCATGTACCAAACTGTCACGCACAAAATTACATACACCTAATACACATAGCCTGAAGGTAAATGAATTCTGATTGGGTCCTATCCCTAAGAAACTTTACTATGTACATGCAAATATTCCAAACGCTAAAACACTTCTGATCACAAGCATTTTATAGATATACATCTATCATGTATACATTTTAGTTGTACTTGGACACAATACCTTTATTATTTTTTAATGTGTTGCTAAGGATTGACCCTAGCACCTCCCACGTGCTAGGCAAGTGCTCTACCACTGAGCCACAACCCCAGCACCCCCAAGCATTTTGGATAAGGGATACTCAACTTGCAGCTGGCACTTAACTGTGGGAGCCTTTATTCAATCTGCTAACTAGGCACAAGAATAAAGAACTTACCCAGAGGGTGGGAGCTTCAGCCAACCTTCAGGAAGCCCAAACAAACAGTAATAGCAACATGAAGAAAGAAGCATTAGATTGTAAGGTTTAAGTTTTCTTGCTCTAGACTCTAAGTGTTTCTCATGTATCTTATTTTCTAGTGGAGAAAGATCCTCTGATTTGCTTAATATGAATTTTATAAACAACATACCTTTTTCATAGCTGTTCTTTTAAATGCTCTAACTGCAGGCAGGAGTTCTCCAGACTTTACATGCTGTGGAAGAAAAATAATGGTTCAGATTAGATTTTACCTTGAAATAATTCTTGAAAGATAGAAGTTAGGAAGTCTTTATAGAGTTCTTGGCAGTGTGGTTCCTACTAATGGGCCCATACTTACTACTCTTCTGTGGTGTTATGACAAAAAGCCAAAGGAAATGGTAAGAGGTCTGGAAAGGTTTACAAGGAGGGCAAGTCTTTTAAAGACACTACTACCCTATCTCTACACTTTGACTGCTCTGCCCCCTGGAGGAGGTGGGTTAATTTGCAGGAGGGATAACTCAAAAGGGCAGGACTCAAGCCTTGCATTCCCCCAAAGCACTGCCAGAAACCCTGGTGCATATGGACTCACTTGTCACCATAGCACTGAAGCTGTTGCCCTGATGTAGTCTGGAATTGTTTGAGAATGAAACAGTGAAGGGAGAGCAGTTAATTGGTAGGGTTAGAACTACTTACACTGGCCAAATAACTCAGAGAGCTTGTCAAATACCCAAAACAACTAATGGAACGCAGGATGAGTTTGACCTCATTCCTTTGCCGAGACTAAGCACACAATGGAGCCTCCAGCTCAGCATCCCACAGAACTCTTGGGGTCAAGAAACAAGGAAAGAAAGACCGAGTCATCACTCTGGAGCTAAACAATGACCTTGATATCCTTCTGCCTTCTCCCAATTCTGCCCCCCCCCACCCTGGACTTCATTACTGTGGCTCCCTCTAGGACTCAGACCCCCACCTAAGGTTAGGTTGATGAGACAGGGAAAGCAGGAGGCAGATTGCTATGGAAGTTCAGAAATGTGCAATTCAGAACCCAAATACAAGGTCCAGTTGCCATTCTGTCATTTTCTCTCCTGTGTGATCTTGGACAAACAATATTTCATCCTTGTGCTTCATGTTCCATTAAAGTAAAGAGAATACTATATCAGAAGAGGGTTTTAGAGACAAAAATGAGGGGTTTTTTAATAAATGAAGTACTGGGGCAAAAATAACCAGTTAGCATATTGCATCTACCCATTATTACTACCACTTGCTGCTCAAGTTATCACCCTCTGAGCCCTATTCATCTGCCTATTTGCCTCTACAGCCAAGTTGCCGGATGTAACTGGAGGAAAGTACCCAAGTGTGCTGACCAGTCTCATCTGAAATCCACATCCCCCCACTTCAGGTGCCCCTGTGCCTTCCAACAGTGTCACACCTGTGCTCAGTCTCAGATGATAAGCGTGCTGCTGCTTTCACCTCAGGAGAACACTACATCCTTCCCCTCATTCTACCCAACAGCTCCACTTACACATCTCCAGATTGTCCCCCTCAGGAATGAACGTGGAGCTTCCATCCTTCCACTCACTCAGAAGAGCCCGGCGCCATCTTTGACTCCTGATTCTCTCACCACACCTCAGAGTTAACCCAAATCCTATCAGCTCTCCTAACTCCATATAGAATTTAACCACTTCCTACCAATACTTTCCCTGGTCCAAGCCATCACCTGTCACAGCCTGGTCCTTTCACCCTTACTCTGTATCACCACATAAGCTCTGTGATCCATTCTGTGATGTCTCTTCACCTCGCTCAGAATACAGGCCATCTGCTGACTTGCCAACCTGGGCCACCCTCCTTCCAGGACTCCTGCCTCTGGTCCTTTTCCTTTGCCGTTCTTTATGCTTCTAGAAAGCCCTTCCCCACAAGCTTCTGTTCCAATGCTGTCTTGTCAAGTAAAGCCTTGACTACTCACCCTGCAGAAAACAATACCCTTCTCCATGTTGTTTTGTGTTATAATTTTAGCCCCACTTAAACCATCTTAGGTATTTACTTGGTTGTACAATCTTGCCCCCAACGTTGGGCTGCAGTCACCATGACGGTATTTCATTTACTGCTGTATCCCAGGCCCACAGCAGAGAGTCAATAAATATTTGTTGACTAAAACCCTGGATGAAGGGTGTCCTCCAATATTCGTGAACAAAGCAGCTTAGAAAATGGGACTCGCTGGGCCCTGATCTATCCCGCTTTCTACACAGACCAGCTGTGTCATCCACACTGGCCACCTGAGGAGCTCAGGAACCCACCCTGACATCCCACAGTCAGGAAGGGCCAAGCCTGATCAGATCCAGGGCCATCTGATTCGAGGCACAGGTACAGAGAGGACAAATGGCTCATGTCAGAAGGGGCAGTGTTCGCAGGGACGCTCACCTTTTACGATGATGGCTGACTTTGGCGTCTCCTCTCAGGTTCATGACTACCTCCGCAGCAAGTTGTGCTCCCTCTACGAAAACGACTGCATTTTTGATAAATTCGAGTGCGTGTGGAATGGGTCAGACAGGTAAGAGAGGCTCTTGGAAATCAATCCTAAGTGGGGTGAAGCCAAATGGGGGTCAAAATTGGGCCCCGTCAGGATGCATTCTGTGGGTCACTGGATGGACCCCGAGATCAGGCCTGCAAAGAAGGGAAGGATGCCAGGAGACCCCGGGTCCTTTTGGGGACTGACTCAGGTGACAATTCAAGAAAGTCCTGTCTTTGACACACAAGACACCCCCAGAGCTTGGTCAACATGCCTAACAAAGACCACAAAGAATTCAACAGCAAATCTCAGCCTGAATTGTTCCAAGTACTACCAAATGAGCTTTCTAGATCAAAAACTCTCCAAACTGCTAGGATGGACCTGACCGGAGGCCCTGGTGGTTCATTAGCTGATTCTCCTCAAGCTCATTTATCACATTCCCTCCAAGTGATTTATTACTGTTTTAAGGTCTTTGATTTCACCAATACTTCATATTACCTCCCAATAGTTCATTTTTAGTTTGACAAATACAGATGAGTCTCCAGCTTCCATGAGAACTAGATGCAGGCAACTAGGGACTGGCTTAGTTTCCTGATGAAGGTGGCACTGGTAATAGTGTTTGGCAGCACGGGAATCCTTCATGGCAAGACACTCGAGCGTTAAGCTTTACAGAGCACAAGCCGCCTCTCTCGATTGTTCTTTAGCTTTCTTTGCCACTGACCCAAAATGAACCCCCTGCTTAGCAGGTCGAAAAGGAGTCACCACATAGCAAAGGACTCCAATCAGTCCAGTTAATGCAGGCCAGGGAGCAAAGCAACTGTGACATGTGAACAAAAGCCCCCAAGGGCAGAGAAGCCAGCCCTGTTATTTTCATGTATTTATTCATTATTAGAAGATATTGTTAATATCTTATTAATTATCATTCCACTTTCCCCCTATCTTAGGCTAGCTTCAAAAACAACACTTACTAAGCACCTACTACTGGGCACTTTCCCACACTTCATTTAATCCCAACCACAGTCCAACAAGGTTGCTTTCATTATCCCCATTTTACGACTGCAGAAACTGAGGCTTGATGACATAAAGAGTAGCCTGCCCAACCTCACAAACTAGTACATGGTAAATACCAAAGAAGTTTTGAATTTGAATCCTAAAAATAACATCCCCTCTGTAACATCACAACTAGGAAATTTTGTTTGGAAAATGTCTCAATCTTATTTGGACCCCAAAGACTTTCTCTGACTTATCTAAAAACCAGACAGGTCATGATGGGGGACATGAACATCAATGCCCAAGACACAGTGAGCCTGAGGGGCTGAGGGCTTACACCCTAGAGACAAGTGCACATGCAAGTTTGAGGCCTGACCTTATCACCTACTAGGACTGACTGTGCAAATTACTTACCTCTCCACATCTCCCTTTCATGGGCTCATGGAAGTTGAAATGAGATGGTGGAGGTAGAGCCCCAGCACCCTGTGTGACAAGGTCACCGCAGTTCACTCTAGCACACAGAGAAACCATTCATAGCGTCAGTTTCTTAGACCAGAAGAAGAAAATCCAACCTTTAATTTGCACAGTACCCCCCACCTTGCTGTGGCCAGTCTTGTTAGCTTTTCCTTTCACCTCTGTGACACTGCTCAAATCATGCAAAAAAGAGATGAGGCTGGGCTGAAGCTCCCAGTCCTGAAGCAATTTCTCACCAGCCTCTCGGGTACCACCCCTCACATACTGAATACTAGTCCAACAGGTTTTTAAATGTTTCTTTGGGTCTTCATTTGATGTATTGACTCTAATTTCCCTGTGCTAAAAACAATTGCAGCAGAATTTGAAGAGTCCAACTTTCCCAACTCCCTAGTTGTGAGAAAATTGTCAAATCCAGTAGACGTGGGCCAATTCTGTTTGAGCACCTGCAGTCTCTTCCTGGCCTGTTGCCCTGTCTAAACAATTCTAAAAAGTCACCATTTAATATTCCACACCTTGCTACTGGAAGACTGTAGGGACTCACTGCTCTTCTGGTCAATTGTAGATGTCCCCAAGAATGGAAAACACTTGTAAAAATGTAGAAACCACCTGACCAGCTCTTCTAAATTTTTTTTTTTTTTTTTTTTTTGGTGCTAAGGATCGAACCCGGGTCCCGCCCATGGTAGGCGAGCATTCTACTGCTGAGCCACAATCCCAGCCCCCTGAAATCTTATTTTTCCATCCCAAATCCTTTTAAAACTTATTTACTCCCTTCCTGAATAAGATCACGATGTCATCCATTTTATAGGCAATATTTCTAAAAAGGTTGAATTAAGATCTGGTTCACAGAAGCGGTTAGGCCACCCTGTAATCATGGTGCTGTCTCTCAGCATTTTTCTTGCCAGGTTGACATAATGAAGCCCTACAGGTCAAACAGTCTGAGGAATACTCCGACAGCAGCTGTGCTTTAAATAAGTACAATTTGTTGTTTTCAAAAGTGTTTCTACTTACAGGACCCCACTTGAGTTTCATAATCCTGATAGGAGAGAGGTAGGGCTGAGATCATATAACTAGACTCATTTAGGTAGACCAAAGAATCAAAAGGAATCTGTAGAACAAAAGTAAATAAGAAGGGTTATCACCATTAGTAATTCAAAAGGAAGTCCATGGTCATAATAAAGATTTCTTTTTTCTTTTCTGGCCAGACAGGGTGGTACATACCTGTAATTCCAGTGGCTCTGGAGGCCAAGGGAGTAGGATCATGAGTTCAAAGCCAGTCTCAGCAACTCAGTGAGGTCCAGTCTCCAAATAAAACACAAAACAGGACTGGAGATGTGGCTCAGTGGTCGAGTGCCCCCAAGTTCATTTCCTGGTACCAAAGAAAAAGAAAAAGGTCCTTTTCCCCACCTCTTTAATAAAACCTATAGTGCCATAAGCTGATCATGATGCGGTATCATTTGCTTCCTTTCACTATAACACCCAGTCACCCCACCCTTTCCTCTCTATCTTGCAGTGTCATCATGACAGGCTCCTACAACAATTTCTTCAGGATGTTTGACCGCAACACCAAGCGTGATGTGACCCTTGAGGCCTCGAGGGAAAACAGCAAACCTCGGGCTATCCTCAAGCCCAGAAAAGTGTGCGTGGGGGGCAAGCGGAGAAAAGACGAGATCAGTGTCGACAGTCTGGACTTTAGCAAAAAGATCTTGCATACAGCTTGGCATCCTTCAGAAAATATTATAGCAGTGGCGGCTACAAATAACCTATATATATTCCAGGACAAGGTTAACTAGGCGGACAAGTTATTACTTAATCTCACATACTGAATACTAGTCCAAGTTTTTAAATGTTTCTTTGGGTCTTCATTTGATGCATTGACTTTAAGTTCCCTGTGCTTAAAAACAATTGGAATAGAATTTTAAAAAGAGTCCAACTTTCCCAACTCCCCAGTTCTGAGAAACTTGTCAAACCCAATAGACTTGGGGCCACTTCTATTTAGAGTTGAGAGCTGCCAGCTAACAGTAATTCTTCCATAGTTGACTTGAATTCTGATGCTTTTATTGCCCTGTTTTCTCTGGTGGGTCCAGTGTTTTGTTTCTAGGTGTCTGCTGCGATAAAATGAGGTTGTCTGTAGTATTTAAGGAAAAAAAGAGAAGTTTTTTTTTTTAATTAAGCAATTCCATTTGATTGAAAAAAAAAATAAAACACCGTTTACTCTTAGAGACACTCTCTTTTATTTTGTGCAAAAATCAGAACTGGTCAGAATCTCCTCTTCCCATCCATCAGCTTCTTTTTAACAGTTTCCTTTGCACCAGAGATTTATTTCACAAGGCCGAGTAGAGGATGCAGAATGAGAAGGGCAGGGACACTGCACCACCTCTATACCTCTTTTTCTAAGCGCCATAGAAACAGCCCGAGAATCCAGCCAGGAAACCCCGTGAATGCTGCGGGGCACAAAAAGAACACTTTCTGCACAGTGCTCTCAGAGTTGGCTTGGCAAGGCCGTGCGGGGCCCGATCCAGCTGCTGCTTTGTCTCTTCCTTTTTGTCCTTTCCAGTGACTCTACAGAATCCTCTACTTACACATTCGCTGGTTTCCTCCCTTCAGCCTTTTCCAGCTTTATTTATTCCGTTGGCTTCTAAAGGCCGCGTCCTGGTTGCTTAGTGTCTGGTCTTCTAAATGAAGCAGTAGGCTGGAAGCCACGGCACTACCCTGGCTCCCTGAGAAAGGCTGGTCTGTGTTGGGTGGGTTTGTCTCCTCAACAGCCCCTCCCCTCTCCCTCCTGGTTTTGGAAACCATAAATCTCCATTGTACCTAGAAAAAAAAAAAAATGGGCCAATAAAGATGCTGACTTGTGAAGTCTGGTAAAGAGCCTCTAACCCATTTCAAGCTCACCAGTTGGAAAAGAAGTCCCAAGGGCTGTCTCCCTACAGGAACTGGGACATGGAGAAATCAAGAAGCTATGACATCAAAGCAAAGGAAGTCCCCTGGAAACAGGAGACTGGTCCATCCTTCCCACCAGTTGAGGATTCAGACTTATAAGTTCTTGAAAGCCACTTCCAGAAGGTTCTCTATGACACACCTCTAATATGGGCCCTAAATGAATTCAAAGGATTTATAAATTTGGATAGGAGGCTTTAGAGAGCAGGCAGATGGTATTTAGACAGTGGTATCTGAGTTCCTGTCTCCAAATCTGTCCTCGTGACTCACTTCTACTTCCACTATGGACGAGAGATAGTATTAGAGGTTTTTCACTGAAAGAAAAATTTTTCAGTTTGGTTTTTTTTTTTGTTTTTTTTTTTTGTTTGTTTGTTTGTTTTTTGTTTTTTTTTTTAGAAGTTCCAACTTTTGAATATAATTTGCTTTGGAGGAGAAAAATTAGAAAAATTAATAATCATATTGTCTCAATTCTAAGCTACTATCCATTTCATAACAGTTTTGGGGGGAAAGGAAATAACTTTCTATTTCAATAAACATTTGTAAACTGCAGCCCAATTTTAGGAACATTAAAACGTGAACAAGGGCTTCCCATGTTGAGGTCACCTGAGGATGAAGATGAGATTTTCCCAACACGTCCCATGTTCCCTGCAATAAAGTCACTTCCTGGGCAGCTCAGGAAAAGTGGCCCAGGCAGAAACTGTCTGTTCGAGGATAATGGCTTCATGGGAAGAATGTTCTTGAAGGAGACCAGAGGGAATTGGAAACTTCTTCCAAGTCAAACAGAATTGCGAGGAGTAGGAACACTGGGTGCTGGCCCACTCACTTCCTCTGTGGCCTCTTCTCCACTTCTGAGGACTCTTCTCTGTGCCAGGTGGAGGGGTTGTGCCAATCATTGTTTCTCAAATTAAGCATCCACCCACCCTTGTACTAGTGCTCATTTAGTATGATTTTAAGGAAATGTGACTTAAGTACAGTTTCAGCCTCCTCCAAATAATATTCATGCATCGTCAGTTCCGATGTGCCAGAATTTTCTTCTAAGGTTAATCACATAACCATTCATATAAAAAACCTGTACCACCTAAATCATTTTGTGAACCACCAGGAGCATGTTTATCAAACTTCAGTGCCTGAGTAACTAGTATGTCAACACATAGCCTGTGGAGGCACTGGAGAGTCTCCACGTCACAGTGGAGTCAACAGGACCAGCACACACAGATGAACAATTTGAGCCTTTGTTTCAGGGGCTCAAGAGCCCCCTTCAGTTCATGTGTGGGCTCCAGATAAAGACCCCTACGCTAGCCCAGCAGCCTCCGCATGTAGATGAACAACCTGAAATTCAGGAATAGGGAGGATTTGCTGGACAGATGAGAGGAAGGCCTCCATCCTCTCTTCCAGCCCACACCTACGATGCCCCATGGCAAACAGCCAGGAAGACAGGGACAGGTGGGGAGGCTCTGGAGAAAACCCAGCAATACCCACCATCCCCAACTGCCTGCTCTGTACCAGGTGCTGAGCTAGGAACTTAACATTTGTGATCTGCTGCTGCTCTAGTAAAGTTTCTTAATGAGCAGCCCACAGAAGTCAGTCTCTCTTCCAGATGACAGTAAAAGCTACTTGAAGGCTGATTTGCAACCTTTCCAACCATTTGCTTGGTTCTAAGGACCTTGCTTTATTTATTTATTTATTTATTTATTTATTTATTTATTTATTTATTTATTTATTTTAGAGAGAGAGAATTTTAATATTTATTTTCTTTTTAGTTTTTGGCAGACACAACATCTTTGTATGTGGTGCTGAGGATCAAACCCAGGCTACATGCATGCCAGGCGAGCGCGCTACCACTTGAGCCACATCCCCAGCCCCCCTTGCTTTATTTTATAATGTGAGTGCCATCAGGTGACAGCTAGAGAGTGCCAACTATATGAAGGAAAACAAGGTACCTTCTTGGACTTAAATCTTCCTAATGCAGCATTCCATTCCTAACATTTTTAAAACAATTCAAAAAGCTGAACTTTTTGTTTTGAGATAGGGTCTAAGTTGCTTAGGACCTCACTAAATTGCTGAGGCTGGCCTTGAACTTTTGATCCTCCCATCTCAGCCTCCTAAGCTTCTGGGATTACAGGCATACACCAACACACCTGGCAAAAGATGGTACTTCTAACCATGAAATACTATGCAACCAAAATCTTTTAATCCCCTATTTCATTTGGGACCACTGGGGATTGGAACTGGGGCCTCATGCATATTAGGCAAGTGCTCTATCATTAAGTATATTCCTAGTCATTTTCCTATTTTTTATTTTTCCGGCAGGCTCCTGCTAAATTGCTAAGGCTGGCTTCAAACTTGCCATTCTCCTGCCTCAGCCTCCCAAGTAGCTGGTATCACACCTGTGGGCCACTACACCCAGTTCCTGACTAATCTTTTGAAAAATAATTCTGCAAATGTGCTAATATGTTTATAGGAGATATTCCTATGAATAGAATTGCTACATCAAATGTATGTGTGCTTATACTTTTAATATATTATTAAATGATGCTCTTTTCAGGTTGGAATTTAAAAAAAAAAGCTGAACTTTGACAGGCACATCTGCTTTTGCATCAGGAGAAGGAAGATAAGTCAGAAGAAGTGAGGAAGACACTAGCCAGCATAAGCAGTGGAATATACAGGGAGACAGACAGAGGGACTGGTCTGCCTCTTGATTCCTTGAGGTCTGGCTCCTGCCGCTACAGCACCATTCTCTAAGGAGGTACAAGCACTCCCCATCTGCTCCAGTACTGGGGATTAAATCCAGATGTGCTCTGCCACTGAGCCACACCACAATCCTTTAGTTTTTGAAACAGGGTCTAAGTTACTGACACTAGCCTTGAACTTGCAATCCTGCTGCCTCAACCTCCAGAGTCACTAGGATTATAGGCATGTGCTACTGTGCTTGCACTAGCACTTTCTGTGGACCACCTCATTCATTTTCTTTTCCCCTTAACCTATGATGACATCATTATTCCCACTTTGCAAATGAGGAAATAGACTCAAGTGTCAATAGCTCAGGACATGCAGCCAGTAAACAACAGAACCAGGACTCCAATTTTTAGCCAGAGCTGCTAAAAACTGGGTCTAATAGATAATCAGCTAATGTTTATCATGCACTCCTTAGGCACCATACTTTGTTCTACAAATTTTACATACATTCATTTATTTACCCCAAAAACTCTGGGTGCAGATATAGTCATGAGTCCAACACGGACACACTGAGATTCACCATTTTCAGTTTCATTATTGGGTGAGCATGATAGAGTGTACTTGCACAAATTGGATAGTACCACCTACTGCACACCTAGGCTACATGG